GTCTCCATTGGAGACTTTGTTGTTACTGTGTTTGGCATATCGAATACTCTCGGAAGCTTGCCGGGCTCTCCGAGAGGGGTGGAGGAATCGAACTCGGGTCGGCCATGTTGGCCGCTTGTAAGGCGAACGCCCTACCCGCTGTGCTATCGCTCCAGCCCGTTGTATGAAACTTTCAATTTTTTTTTTGTTTTTGTATCTCACCCGGCAGTGCTCAGGGCTTACTCCTAGGGGGACTCAGGAAACCATATGCGGTGCCAGGAATTGAACCCCAGTCAGCTGTATGTCAGGTAAATAACCTACCTGCTGCACTCTGGCCCTGGCCTTAAGAATACTTTTAATTCTTCCATATGTGATGTTTTTAAATTACTTTAAATACTTTAAATTTTATGACACTTATAAAATATTTGTCAGATCCTACTCAAAAAATAAACTTCCATTCTAGTCTATGGCCAATGTATTTTTCACTAAACTAAACTTTTGTTTATTTCTGCACATCCAGGATGGACCCTGCCTCCATATGTGGAAGGCCTGTGTCCTACTGTTGAGCCATATCCCCAACTCAGAAAACTAGCTTAGCTTTCCTGACTACAAGAGGAGGCTAAATTGAAGAACTAAGCCATTTCTATGCTTAAAAAAAACTGTTAGGGCCTACATAAATAAAGGAGATGGACAAGAGGTTCTTGTGGGACCCCTTGGTTCTTTATCGGACCCTTATGAGACCTTCACGGAACCTTTCAACCCAGAATACTTGCACTAAAACTGGAATGTTGCCCTTGTGGGCGGGGAGGGGGGAGGGCGGAGTGGTGTAGGGGAGGGTTCTGTATCTGCTCTTCCTCTACTTCCACTCCTGAAAGAATCTCCCCTCGTGAAAGTGCATTACAAAGATGTTTTTCCCCATGGACTAAGGCCCTTGGATGTGTAAAAGTGTATCTTGTATATTATATATAAATATTATATACAATTCTCGGTATTTTCACAATGTTGTTCTGATGATTATGGATTCTAAATAATAAATATGATTCACAAAGAAGAGCCAGGGCTCAGTGGACAGACTGTGAGCCCCTCACCACATGCTTTTCGCTCCCTTTTCTGCCTCTTTCTTAGTCTTCATGGCGTCCATGGATCAGGCCTGCTCAGCTGGGGCTGGCCCCTGGAAAAAATGCAATATGGTTTTTCTTCAAAAGACTTTCTAGGGCTGGTGAGGTAGTATAACAGGTAAGGTGCTTGCCTTGCACCTTGCCAGAAGTAGGTTCTATTGCCTGCATCCCATATGCTCCCCTGAGTGCTGCCAGGAGTAATTACTGAGTACAGAGCCAGTGAGATTCACTGAGTGTGACTCCTGGACCCCAAAAAGATATCCTGTTAGCATTAATCTGTTGTTAATATTATTCCCGTTGAAGTCATTTTCAGGGTTGAAATCTGCAGGAGAGATATTACAGAAGGTAAGACTCTTTGCCTTGCATGTGGCCAACATGGGTTTGATTCCCGGCACCACATATGTACGGTCCCGTGAACCTGCCAAGAGTGATCCCTGAGCAAAGAGCACAGAGTCAGGAGTTACAACTGAACACTGCCTGATGTGGCCAAAAGCCAAAACAACAACAACAACAACAATAATAATAATAATAATTCATCACCACCAATATAAGGCTTTAACTCGGATTCCTCCCACGGCAAACACTGATGGGCATAACCTGAACGCACAGAAGCATCTCTGGGCTCCTCAGGAACTTGTAAGATTTAGCGAGATCCTGAAATGAAAACCATGGAAAATCCTGAGTCAGTCTCAGCCCTGGACACGGGGAGACAGTGTGACAGAGATCAGGTGAGGGAGCAGGTGAGAGGGCGAAGTCCCAGGTCTCAGGTGTGGCTCCCAGTGTCCCCAGGGTGGTGTTGGGGGCAGGAGATTAGTCCTGGGGATTCCTGGTCTCAAAGTTTCACTTCTCCCTCAGCAATCTGTGTCAGCGCCTTCTGCCCGGATACTCGTGACGCGTCCCCAGTCCTCACTCCCATTGGGCGTCGCTGTCTAGATCAGCCAATCGGCGTCCTCGCGGCTCCCGGTTAAACACTGTGGGCAATCGTGAGGGAGTCAGAATTCACTTGATTCCTTCAGTATGTGGGAGCCGCGACCCCTCCTGCTGCTGCTCTCGGGGACCCTGGCCCTGACTCAGACCCGGGCGGGTGAGTGCGGGGTCGGGAGGGGAGTTCGTTGTGGGGTGATGGACGGAAACTTCTAGGCATTGCTGTGCAGGAAGCCCGAGAAGGAGTTTCTCCGTTCTCTGCCCGGATGCCCCCCAAATGTTCCTCTTGTCCCCCCAACCTTCAACTCCTCCCGCGCCCCTAAGTCTCGCCCTTCTCGGTCCCTCCCCGCTTTCCTGTCTCCCTCCCTCCCCTCCACCTCCCCCCATCACCATGGCCCGGGGCACACAGGGCAGCGGGTCGGGTCAGGCCAGGTCTCACCCCTTCCCCTCCCCCAGGCTCCCACTCCCTGCGCTATTTCTACACCGCCGTGTCCCGGCCCGGCCGCGGGGAGCCCCGCTTCATCACCGTCGGCTACGTGGACGACACACAGTTCGTGCGCTTCGACAGCGACTCGGCGAGTGCGAGGATGGAGCCGCGGGCGCCGTGGGTGGAGCAGGAGGGACCCGAGTACTGGGAGCGGAACACGCAGAACGCCAAGGGCACCGCACAGACTTTCCGAGCGACCCTGAACACCGCGCTCCGCTACTACAACCAGAGCGAGGCGGGTGAGCGCGGCCGGGTATGGACGAGCCAACACAGGGACTGGCCGGGTCGCCCGAGGCGGGTCCGACCGTCCCCGAGGCTGAGGGACCCACCCCGGACCTTGACCCGGAGGCGCCGCGGGACAGGGTCCCGGTTTCGTTTTCGGTTCGAGTCTAATCTGTGCGGGGCGGGTCAGACTCTCACACCTTCCAGCTGATGTACGGCTGCGACGTGGGGTCCGACGGGCGCCTCCTGCGCGGGTACGACCAATCCGCCTACGACGGCGCCGACTACATCGCCCTGAACGAGGACCTGCGCTCCTGGACGGCGGCGGCGGGCACGCAGGCTTGGCGAACCCAGCAAAAGTGGGAGCAGGAGGGTGTCGCTGAGTACAAGAGGAACTATCTGGAGAACATCTGCGTGCAGTCGCTCCTCAGATACCTGGAGCACGGGAAGGACACGCTGCTGCGCGCAGGTACCGAGTCCCCGAGGGTGAGGACCCCTGACCTCGCCTCGGCAGGGCGACTCCCCAAAAGGGGGGACAGAGTGGGCTTCAGTGTCTGAACAGCGGCCCATCTTCAGTCAGGAGAGTGACTGACCCGCCTGGTTTCCATGTTCTGTACCAGAGAGACTCGCCCTCCCCTCAGGCCCACCCTGTGTCCTCAGGACTGTGAAGGACCCTAGTGTCCCTGGGGGAGGGGCGACCTCCTCTGAAATAACGAATGTGGGTTCCTGGGACCCGGCTGCCATCTTTGAACTCCCTCAGGTCTTAGCTCTGACTCCTACTTCTCTCAGTCACTCACCCTCCTCCCACGGCAAGGACCAGAGTCACTGTGTCCTGAGACACCCTAACCTCTTCCCAAACCCTGTTCTAGAAGTTTCCAAGCAATAGGATTTTATCCAGTTTCTCCAGCCAAGTGTCTGGATTGTGTCTGGATTTTTACCTCCTATTCCAAACCAATTATCCTGTTCAACCCCATTATGGAAGTGACCCAAAGTGTGAATTTTCTCATTTTCCCTCCTCAGAACCCCCCAGGAGTCACATAACCCGCCACCCCTTCTCTGACCATGAGGTCACCCTGAGGTGCTGGGCCCTGGGCTTCTACCCTGCCGAGATCACCCTGACCTGGCAGCGTGATGGGGAGGACCTGACCCAGGACACAAAACTGGTGGAGACCAGGCCTTCAGGGGATGAAAACTTCCAGAAGTGGGCAGCTGTGGTGGTGCCTTCTGGAGAGGAGCAGAGATACATGTGTCGTGTGCAGCACCAGGGGCTGCCAGAGCCTGTCACCCTGAGATGGGGTAAGGAGGGGGACGGGGCACAGAGCCTGTTCTCAGGGGAATCAAGGTTGGCCTCTCTGGGGAACTGCTGAGGGTTAGGGTGAGGCTGGGCTCTGACCCTCTCTTCCTTCCCAGAGCCCCCTTCTCAGTCCAGCATCCTCACTGTGGGCATCATTGTTGGCCTCTTCGGGGTTGTGGTCATTGGAACTGTGGTGGCATATGTGGTCAGCAGGAGGAAGCACTCCGGTAAGATGGGGAAAATGGGTGGTGGACATCTGTTCAACGTGACAAGTCTTGAGTCTTGTTCCACATTGGGGGTCCCCCCGTATTACTTCTTCTGCCTCCTTAGCAAGAGCACCACCGCCCCTGTGCTGCTGCTCACACTCCCCTTGTGTGTGCCACTCTCAGCTTTGCTCATGAAAGACACTTTCACCTCCATAACCTGGAGATGAACCGGGGTCCCAGGGTTCCAGATCACAGGGACTGTCCCTGCTGAGTACAGACTGCCAGGAGGAGGCTGGTCAGTCCTGGGGTCCGGGCCTAGAGAGCTGCTCTATGGCCGCAGGATCCAGTGCTCTCCCCGACTTCCCTGGATGTTTCCTTCCCGCAGGTGAGAAAGGTGGACAGTACACTCAGGCTGCAAGTAAGTGTGGGCAGGACTGGGGCCCTGCAATCCTGGGGACAGAGACCGAAGCCCACCGGGAGCTTCCGTACCCCTAGTTCCTCTTCTAGTCCCCACCCCTGTGGTTCTGACCTTGTCCTGTTTGTTCCTCCCCAGACAGCGACAGTTCCCAGGGCTCTGATGTGTCTCTCACGATTCCTAGAGGTGAGAGTCTGGAGGATGCAGTGGGCGGATTGGGCAGAGGGGACAGGACTGGGTTTGGGGGTTCTTTGAGTGGGATGCTGGGAGCTTGCTCAGGATGTCACCACTTCTGTGACTCACCTGGGTCCCTTCATTCTTCTCTCTTACAGTGTGAAACTGCTTCCCTGCTGAGTTTCCTCACATCCCAGTGTTGTGACTCAAGAAATGCTGATTCTCCTTCTGCCCTGGGATCTGAGCATGTCTGTTTTCCTGTCACACACTGTGAGGGGAGAGACTGGCCCACCCCTGCCCACTGGGCCCTCCCCACACTTACCTGCTTTCTCTTCCTGATGCTCTGGGCTGTGCCAGCAGAGACAGGACTCAGCCATCTCTATCTGCATTACCTTCTTGTTTTCCTGAATAATGTTTCTCCCTTACTGAAATAAGCATCTGATTTGCGTTTTTCTAATTCCTGTTTTGTGGGATTGAGGGTTAATAAAGGAAATCCCTGAAATTTGAGAAGGAACAAATGGAAATCCTGAGACCTTTTATGTGTTTTGATTTGAGTCTGTCCCAGATGTGACAGGAGAGGCTGTGAGTGGATGGGGGGGTGGGTGGGTGGGGGGGGAGACACAGACAGGTACAAGGATGCAAACCTAGGATTTCTGACTCCTACCCAAGTGAACTGTCCAGTTCCAGGAGTATAAACAGAGGCTGAAAATGTGGGAAAGCAGCTGGAGTGTTGTCACTTCCTGACACTTTCCATCATAGACACATAGAGATCAAATGGAGATTCGGGCACTGGAGTGACAGGTCTCACACAGGTGGCTCCGTCCTACAGTGCGTGTAAGTTGTTTGGTCACAAAGTTAAGCTACAAATTGGCAATCACCCTAATAATCTTTCCTCAAAACCTCTTTGATAGAAATAAAATTAGAACAACATATGGAAGTAGAGAGTCCAGGACACAGATGACCTTTTCATCCAAGCCCACATGGTAAGATAAATGGTCACTGAGTCAAAGAATCAAGTGCACAGATTAAAAGAACACTTCTTAGGGTCTGTATCCTGTTAAGTGTCCCAAGGAGTAACAGGGGAAAACAGCCAGAAGTCATCAACAATGTCAACTAGGAACAGGAATTTGCATGGGGTGATCAGTGTTCTACCTCTGCCGGGTTTGAGCAGCACAATACTTTGGAGGGTCCCTGTTCAGCACTGGGGGCTGGTGGGGTGAACCCAGTGTCTTAAGACAACCCAGAGCTGGTGGGGGCTCCTTCACTCAGTGTCACTCATTCTCTCCTGTTGTGCACATCTCCTTGGGGTCCCAGACAATGGCTGGTCGAGCATCTCTCCTCTCCAAATCTCAGTCTCCAAGCTCTATCTCAGGGGCAGAGATCTGAACCGGCTCAAATAACAACTCTGTCTTCATCTGACATTTTCTAACACTGGAGGAGAGTTCAATCCCTAACACCCCATATTGTCCCCCAAGTCCACCAGGAATGATCCCTGAGTACAGAGTCAGGGGAAAAGCCTGAGCAGCGATGGGTGTGGCCCAAAAAAACTAAAAAATGAAGAAAGAAAGAAAGAAAGAAAGAAAGAAAGAAAAAGAAAAGAAAGAAAGAGAAAGAAAAAGAATGAATGAAGGAAGGGAGGGAGGGAGGGAGGGATGGGGGAAGGAAGAGAAGGAAGGAAGGAGGGAGAAATCAATATCATCTGAAATTTGAGAAAATAAGCCCCTAACTGCAATTGAGATCCTAGTCTGGGATTGCTGCTCCCATCACTTAAATCACTTAATCACTTAACTTCCCGTTAGTCGTCGATTTGCTCGAGCGGGCGCCAGTAACGTCTCCATTTGTCCCTGTCGCGTGCTAGTGTAGCCCAATGGCATCTGTTCGCTCCGGGAACATGAAGGGCCTCAAACCGATCGTTCATGATCTTCAGGAAGAAGTCTGACCATTTGGTAGGTGGGCGGCCACGCGGTCTCTTGACATCCCGTGGAATCCAATCAGTAACAGCTCTAGTCCAACAGTCGTCTTTAAATCTCATTACGTGACCAGCCCATCTGATTTTCGACACCTTGGCAAATGAGACAGCGTCCCTGATCCTTGATTGTCGACGGATGTCAGAACTCCGGATTCTTTCTCTCATTTGAGTGAAACGTAATATTCCAAGCATAGCTCTTTCTATTCTTCTTTGGGAGACCTGAATGGCGTTCTCATCTTGTTTGCATAGGGCCCAGGTCTCTGAGGCATATGTTAATGCAGGAAGAACAGTGGAATCAAAGAGATGTGCCCGGAGCCGGAGGTTCTTCGTCCTCTTAGCTATTTCTTCGACGTTCTTGAAGGCGTTCCAAGCCGCTCTCTTCCTCCTGCGCAACTCGGGTGCCAGGTCATTTGTCATGTTGACCTCTCGACCTAGGTACACATAGCTGTTGCATTCGGAGATGGTCGTTCCATTGAGAGCGAATGGGGCGTCAGGAACAAGGCTGTTTCTCATAAACATTGTCTTCGTAAGATTCAGCTGTAGTCCTACCTTTCCACACTCACGGTCAAAGTCGGCCAGCATTTGTGCCGCTTGGCTGATGTTTGGTGTTATTAAAACAATATCATCAGCAAAGCGGAGGTGGTGTAATTGCCGACCATCTATCTTCACTCCCATTCCTTCCCATTCCAGTTGTCGCATGATGTTCTCGAGGGTGGCACTGAAGAGTTTCGGTGAAATGGTATCACCCTGCCGAACCCCTCTCTTGACATCAACGATCACTTCTTTGTAGAATGGTGAGATCCTGGTAGTGAATCCGCAATACAGCTCACGGAGGATCCTGATGTATTGGGCTTGAATGCCCTGATTGGCTAGGGCTTCAATGACCGCTTCCGTCTCAACAGAATCAAAGGCCTTCTTTAAATCAATGAACGTTAAGCAGAGCGGCACCTTGAACTCCCGAGAAACCTCAATGAGCTTGGTTATTGTGTGGATATGGTCGATGGTGCTGAATCCTTTGCGGAACCCTGCTTGCTCGCATGGTTGTCCTTCATCTAGTGTTCTGCCAATCCTATTCAGGATGACTCGAGTGAACAACTTGTAGATGACAGACAATAGGCAGATTGGGCGATAGTTGCCAATGTCATGGATGTCTCCCTTCTTGAACAGTAGTACGGTCCTGCTGGTTTTCCATTGGGACGGAACCTTGCATTCAGACAGGTAGCGAGTGAAGAGCCGAGCCAGTGTATTGATGAGTACTGACGGCAGGTTCTTCAGGTGTTCAGGTCTGACCTTGTCTGGGCCGGGTGCTGTTTGTTTCTTTACCAACGAAATGGCGTGTCGGATTTCGGAGGGGAGAACGTTGGGAACAACATACCCATCCTGTGGAATTTGGTATGTTGGCAAGTGGACATGGCTATCGAAGAGATTTGAGTAGAAGTCATGGATAATCTTCTCCATTGCCATTCTGGAGGATGTGATGGATCCATCAGGACGTCGGAGGGCAGTCATCTTGTTCTTATAGTTGGCGAAGGACAGGCGGGCCTTACGAATACTTTTCCCGGCTTCTGCCGCATCTACCAGTACTTCTGCTCTTCTCTCTTTGAGGTCTTCCTTGATCGCATCTCTGCACTGCTTTGCAAGCTCGGACGTTAGCTTGCGGTTGACTGAGGCATGCGCCAAACCACGCTGGCGAATTAGCTCGAGAGTTTTTAAAGATAGGCGACTTTTTGTGGCTATCTCTCTCTTGGCGTTCCTCGCACATTCATGGAGGTGCCGAACCAGTCGATCATATTCCTCGTCAATGTTGTCAACAATGGCATCTTCCCATGTTGCCGCAATAGTACCAAAGAGTTCCCAGTTGGTGGTCATTCTGGGAGTTCTCTTTTTGAACTTTGCAGCCCTTTCTCCCCGCTCTGTGAAGTAGAATTTTGCACGAAGGAGATGGTGGTCCGATCCCATTCGAAATTTTGGGACAACAGCGACATCAGTCAGGCAAAACCGTCGATTGAATATGATGTGGTCTATTTCGTTGTGGAATCGTCCACCGGGAGACTCCCATGTCCATCGTTTAGATTCTGCCTTCTGGAACTGTGAGTTACCATGGATGGTCTTGGTCGACATGATGAACTCTGACAGTCTCTCACCCTGTTTGTTCCATTCTAGGCCATGGGTCCCGATGTGAAGTTCTTCAGCTGATCTTCTCGGTCCTATCTTGGCATTAAAATCACCCACAATGATCTTGTAGAAGGTGTGGTCTTCTTTATAGAACTTCTCTAGCTCCATGTAGAACTTCTCGATTTCTCTTTCATCATAATTAGATGTTGGTGCGTAGACAACGAAGATAGAAACTGCAGGCAGTGAGCCACATCTATTCAAATGTAAACGTCCGATTCGGGTTGTTAGGCATTCGAATGAATCAATGCTCTTGGCCAAGTTTGTGTTGACAAGGACACCGATGCCTCCAACACCTCTTTTATCGCATGTTCTGAGGAACAATTCTTCTCCAGTGTCGAAAACGGCATGGTGAGATTCGTGCCTTCTTGTCTCGGTCAGACCAATGATGTCGTACTTGATCATTCGCGCTTGTACCATCAGGTCCTCGATGGATGCATTTGATGCTAGCGTACGTGCATTGAAAGTACAGACGATCATTTTTGTCTTCCTTCGTTGTGGCAGCCTAGGTCGGCCTTGAGATTTTGTCGGCCTCTCCTTTCTCATCCTTCTCAGTGCTGCCATGTCGGTGAAGCCTTCAGGGTCAGGTGAATGAGACCAGTTGTAGTTACTGGTTTTGGCATATCGAATACACAGCAGATAGCTTGCCATGCTCTTCCGTGCGGGCGGAATACTCTCGGTAGCTTGCCAGTCTTTCCGAGAGGGATAGAGGCTTTTGGGGTGACCTCTAATCACTCTTGTAGGTGTTACCATATTTGAACCCTATCAAATATGGTACGATAATTCCAGAAGATGGGTATTTAGTGTCTTATGATGTGTCGCGCGGCCGCAAGCGGCCGCGCGGGTCCAGAAAGCGTCCCGGAGTGTGGCGACGGCTGGGTAGTGGAAGTCGTGTCGAGAGTGGAAGTCTGCCAGTGGGGTATTTATCTGGGTAGGGTGGGTCTCCTGTGCACAATTCGATCCCTGGGTGGTTGATGGAAGCAGACAGGGCAGGGTAGGGTGGGGCTCCTGATTAGAATCCCTTTGTCACCTGTGGTGGTGGGAGCAAGCAGAGAAGCTCTGTCCCTGGGTCCGCCGAGCCTGGAGTCCAAGGTCTCAGAGAGTTCCGCTTAT